ATATATCTTATTAACCAAGCGCGAGGGCCGTACTGGGAGAATATCGGCCCGAGGTCTTGACAGTACGGACCGAGCGCAGCGAGGTCCGTACAAAAAAGACCGAGGGCCGATATTCTTCCAGTACGGTCCCGAGCAAGCTTGGTTAATAAGAGATTTATTATACGACTGAAGTTCAAAGGGACACAAGTGCGGTATCATTCGGAACCATTCGGGACAGTGCCCGGTCCAATACTTAGAGAAAATTGGACCGGCAAAAGAGCATTTTGATTGGTTGAATTTAGTTATTGGCCCTCTGACTGCCCGAGTCGTGTAATAAACGTAGTTATTAAGGGTGTATATGAATGCCTTCAAATTCAACGACTTCCCACAAACTGTTCGTTTGGGAAGCAGTGCCTTTTTCTGGATGATTATCAATTTAACAGGTATTCTTCTGCATTTGACCAAAATTAGGTCTTTCTTAATTTATGCTTGTTTAAGGATCAACTTTTTCTTTATCTGGGAAATCTTACAATAGTTCTAAAATAAACTGCAAAGTGTTTTATTTCCCACAAAGATAAATGAACTAGAGTTTGTTTTCCTCTATACGCATGCACCACCCGATTTATGCATGGACAAGTAAATAAGTCAAATTTAGGCCTGTGCTTGCAGTGAAAAAACATATGTAAGATATGTTTTGAAGAAGTAGAATCTACCGCTTACCTGACCGCAAGAATTTTGCTGGCGCTTGTTTCAAAGAAATATTTGAGAAGGGCTCCGTGTTGTTCTTGTTGCTGGAAAAAGAACAAGAACACATCACACTTGATTGACAGGTAAAAGGAGGCGGTAACAGTTGACTGACAACCTGTCCGGAAATATTATTAGAAAGCTGGAAACGAGCTGGAAACGAGCTGAAAACTCGTGCCCAGGGGCTCTCATCTCTCTCCCTCCAAGAGCAAGCCTGGGACAAGACTGAAGGTGGTGCATAGCTTTGAATAGTATTTAACCCGAACAGCACAACCAGAGAGATATAAGTCAGATTTGCTTTTAATCGTAAAGTTAATCGTTTAATTATATCACCTTATTATGCACGCAAACGCAGCAAGACCACTGATAAAATATATATTGGGGGTAAGTTTGTAAAGAAACTGCGGTGCTGCGTCGGTGGGGGTAACGAGGTAATTTGTTAATATCAACTAAGTTGAAATTGTAAATTGGCCACCGTAAAGAGTTAAAAAGCTGACGTTTCGAGCGTTAGTCTTTCGTCATTATGCTCTCTCAAATTACATTGATAAAATATCCTTCCTTAATTTTCTTCAAGTTACCTCGACTGCTCTCCAAAATACAACTTCTCCGAACTAAAAAAAACACAAACTTTTCATAAAGGATCACGCACTTTCCGCGAAATACTTACCCTTTAACTCCCAGAAGTGATTATCATGTAACTTCTCCTTGTAATATCCACATGTTATCCAACAAATAGGTAATGAGACTAGAGGTTTTGCACAGCAGCCATGTTGGATGGCAGGAACAATGAAAGTATTTTGTATAAGAAAAAAATTTTTTTTCCCAAGGGTAAAATGAGCTATTGTTCCTGCCATCCAACATGGCTGCTGTGCAAAACCTCTATACTCAAACTTATCAGGTGGAAGTTGTTATCTTGATTTAACACCAAATTCTCGTAACTATTTGAC